GCAATTATTATAACAATATAACATATTATATTATATTCATGTCATGTCTCAAAATTCGATAATTGTCACTTGCAATGCCAGGGGCGAGGATGGGCCAAGCCAAGCTTATGCCTCAGGAAAACGGTGTGAGTCCTCGAGGAGCTTGAAGCAAGCCAAAAGTGACGAGGCTTCCTCTTGTTAACCTCCACCAGCCTACACCTGGTATGTGTGCCCACATCAACGGCTTGGTGTTCCACTACTCATGAATACTTCAAGACTTTCACGGCAATTCAAGTATATGTATATATATATATATGGGTTCAATGCGTTCCGAGCCCCAATGACAAACACTTTACTGTAAATGGAAAAACACTTGGCCCATGTAACTGTATATCATGTTGTTGTGAAATACAGCTAACGGCTATTACTTGTATACATCTATTATTACTTGCCCTTGGCATCTGCTTCTAGCAACTGACATACTACTGTGCATATATGTGATTATATGTGCGCGTTCGTCCGATTTCGTGAGGAAGACTGGTCTCAGCATCTCGGTCTCAGCGTTTCTCGGCACCTGAGGCCAACCGTGCCATCGGAATTATACTTGAAGAGCATCAGGCGTTGTACCATGGGTGATGCCAGTGGCTCGTGTTGCCAATGCTAATTCTAGGGCTTAAGACCACTGTAAGTCGGAGATGGCATGGACATGTTGCCCGGCAAAACTGGCGACCTATTACCAGCGTCGACCCAGCTTGGTAGGCGCAGATCATGGAGGAACTCTCCAGGCGGTTGACTTGTCTTTGTGCTACTTGAGTTCAATACAGCATGACAGGCGCATGCACACTGAGTGAAACATAGGACTTGTAAGGAGGAGTGAGGCACCAGCTGAAAGAGCGAAGCATATTCTTCAACTGATGGTGCGCATGAAAGACGAGAGGTCTCCAGGAAAGATGTCTTGTGGAGTCCACAAGCTAAGCAGGAACACTGCTGACCACCTGTTAAGCAGTTGTTGCTTCCAGTACTGTAGAGTATTTGCTTTGATGCTGGAGCCTCCGTCCTGTCAAGAACTCCATCTCGCATGGAATTACAAAAGCCGGTCTCAACTCGGTTTACTTGGATAGTCAGAAGGCTGCCGGCAGGGAACGGGAAGGGTGGTTGAATCCTGGTATGCTGTACTTGAACCCTGACAGCATCGGGGCCGGTTGCCTTGGATGTTCAGCTTTGACCTTCTCCTTCAATAGAGGACGGTGAACCTCACCACTGTCAGTAAACTGACTATCGGATAGCTCGTCCATGAACCTGCGTGTTCATCCAGGCACCGCTTTGACATGGAGCGCCTCATTTCCTTGAAGATGCAGGCCTTGCTTCAATTTGGAACATGCCATAGCCGAGTGGCCGCTGGAGCTTTGAGGTCTCACCTCCTCAAACTCAAACCAAATGCTGCAGTGCGTATGCCTCGCAGGCAGTTCCAGCGCAGAATGAGGTGGTTGACTTGTCAGCCTCCCAAGCCATCAGCAAAACGAGACAAAGCAATGATTTGCCATGTGTTCCCCTCCAAGCCACAGTTGATGGAATTGCACGACCCATTTTGGTGATTCTTCGCATGGCTCACCTGAGCCACACATGCTGGGAGCATGGGTCGGCACCTGCTGAGGAAGCCAACCATTGGAAAGCCACAAAAGTCGACGCCTCTCACGCCTCAAGGAGATTTGCAGGACCTTCTTGTGGGCTACAAGGGGTAGCTTTTGGCGTACAGCACCCATGCATAATCCATGAACGCACTAATTATATCTCATCACCTCAGTGGCACATTGTTTTTCGTGTGTAGCCAGTGATTTGTGAGCAGAGTCTGTCAGGAGCCTTCGTTTGAAGCACCTGAGGAGCACATCAATCGTGCAACGCTCTCGCCGTCCATTGAGGGTGTGTTTTCAGACACTGAATCTCGAGCGGTGAGTCAGCAAAGTGAAGCCAGACAGAACTACAGCCTCTTGGTTGGCAATGTGCAGCTTTGATCATTGATTTCCTTGCGCAAGCAAAGGTCTACACTGCACTTGCGGAAAATAATCATCGAAGTGGAAAAAATGGTCTCTTGGACGACAGTTTTCCTCTACAAGCAGGTGGTTTTCCACTTCCATGATTATGTTGGGGAGTATAAGGGCCAAGAAATATTGTTGCCGATGTTGGTGTGCTCGCGAGAAACAAGTTCACCAAATCAGCGCCTGGCTTCGGGCCAAAGCCATGCAGGTGTTGATGATCCCCAAGATGAAGTCGCCAAGAGGAAAAAGAGAACGGGACGAGTGATTCGAAGAACCATGAGCGGGACACGTGGCAGCAATATGCAGCAATCCTGATCCATAGAAGTGTTCTATGTTATTTTCCAATGGATCTTCTAGCATGTTTGTTTCTTTTTTTTTGAGTGGCACTTGGCACTTGGCAGATGAGGAATCAATCAGAGATATCAACCTCGGATCGCCGCTTTCCTCGGCTAAAGGCTTGGGTGCGTAGTTCGGTGCTCAGGGAAGCTCAGCTACGTGATGCCACGCATGAGGTTGCATTCTTCTTTCTAGCTACGGCTTTTTGTGCTAAGGTGGTACATTTGAGAGCATCGCCGGAATTCTGATAATCACCAATGCAGTATTCATTGGCATCGAGGCCTTTGTTTCCTCCAAAGGGCACTCTGATTTCACACGGACGATGCGTTGAGATTAGGGTAAAGACGGTAAAGACAAAGCGGCGAACTCTCCACATCATCATACACTGAGCGCTGTACTATGCTGCTTTCCTTGCGTGCATGTTGTTGCAAAATCAATCAACATTTTTTGGCCTTGATTCCACTGCTTTTTGACCAAACCTCCTCGCTGTTCCTTGTGAAAACGACATGTTCTTCATGTTCGGAACATGTTCTTATCATGTTCTCAACAGCATTGCCATCATTTTCACTACGCCGTTGCTCGTGGGAAAGGCATGCGATGACTGCACTCAGAGTAGGGAGAAGCCCCCGAGACGCTCAGTGAATGAACACATTATATAATATACACATTCTATTTGAATTTTGGCGATATGTTGGCAACCGGAGTCTTGCAAATATGCCATATGGCACTTTGCTGTGACGAAACGACAACTCGGGCTCCAACGAGCAGTCGGCAACTCATTGCCGACCCTACGGTCCTACAGCCAGACGGTGTGGTTCGACCCTGCGGTGTTCCGGCCAGATCGAGCTCTCGATTCAGATGGGCAGCCCGCCATGGGCAGTCCAGGCAGGTGAGAAGTGACGGTGGGTTTAGTCAAGACGTCCAGGACCAGCAAGCAACAAATGCAACAACCTCACAACAAACACTTGTTTCTATCTTGAATTATCTTGATGTCAGAGATCTTTCTTGCTGTGAGGCCTAAGTATGTCTAAGTAAGCCCACTTAGCCAAGGGTTTGCCTTTCGTTCTTGAACGGTGCTCTTCAGACTGAAGAGGTTGTTAAGTCCTACTTGTGGGGTTGTTTTGTTAAGTCCTACCGGACACTAGTCACATCTAGTCACTACACAGTTTGTAAAAACAGGCGGCGGTACTACGCTACGATTTTAGACTTTCCCAGAAGACCTTGTCAACATTTGTCAAACATGGACAAATTATATATGAGTTACTTTTTTGGTCCATTAACGCATATTGTATCTTGTCTCCAAAAAATGAGTGATGATACACTGATAATAATTGACATTAATGTAAAAAATGTGACAAAGCGTCCAAATCGACGGTCCAAATCGACGCTTACTGGAACGTCATGGTCACTGATGGTCGACCTTCTCCTTTCCATCTTCTCCATCGGCCGACACAGCCGAGAGCGGTCCAGAGACGCAGCCGAGATGAGCAGCGGCTGGTGCAGGTCATCGGCCTCACCTACACGTTGGCCTTTGCTCTTGAGCTCCTTTTGCGACTGGTGGTCGATGGCTGCAGTGGCTTGACATCGTGTCACGTCGGATCCGCGGTAAGAATCCAGAACTCTTCACGTGTGGAGGTCATGGTTCAAATTCAAATCAGGCAGAGTTGGCATCAGATCTCAACTGGTCAAAATTGTGTACTACCTAGTCAGGCCACTGACCTATATGTTGCACCTTCAACGAGCCATCAAACCCGCACCTAAAAGACAGTCATGGTATGTCATGGTAATATGGGACTTACTTGAATTTATGGCCACATTGACCATCCTCAGGGCAACGATTTGTCCACAACACGAAGATATGCAAAGTAAGAAGTAAGTATACTGAGGTGTTGCCTCATGTTGAGCTAAATGAAGCTGGATTTAAACAGTGCCAAAAAAATGTGTGGAAAATAGGGCGAAGTAAAACTGAGTGAAGCTAGAATATGAAAAATAAGTATGCAGTATGAACGCCTGGGAAACAGGACCGTGTTTGATCAGAGTGCTTGTTTGCGCCTGACTCTCAACTTCACACCCCGGTTGGGATGTCCATCGCTAAGGTATGTTTTGGAGGAGGACGCTTGGTTGCATTGTAGGAGTCGGTACATGTGTTTGTCCAGTTGCTTCAGCTCGCTTTCAGTGAGCATGCTCATTCATTCTTTGGAGTTGTGGCAGAATCCCTCATTGGGAGTGGGAGGAGGCTTGATCAACAATGCTTGTATAATGTTGTATATATGCATCGGTAGTGGGACATAGGTTGAGATTGGCTCTAAGGTTTGTGCAGGCTTGTATTGTTCCCCATATCTTTCGAAGCCCCAGGCCCCCAACCCCATGTTTCGCAAGAACAAAGGCCGGGCTTTCGAGTCAATCTGAGGCAATACTTATGGAACCTTCTCGATCTTTTTGTGGTGCTGTGCTCACTGCCACTGGTCTAAACGTTGTGGCATGCAACAATGCGCCCCTTAGTTTGGTCCTTCCAAGTTAGTCCACACGTGCAGCAAAGCTTTAAGGTGGGAAGTGTTGGTGCTTGCAGCTCGTCCGCAGAGAAGGTGCTGGACAGGACCACTTCGCTTGATCGCACTGGAATGGGGCGTGGCTGAGGTCTTGGAAGCCATGATGCCAGACCTTAGTATGAATGCAGGCATTGGTGTCATTAGCTCCTTGCGCATTGTCCGGATTCTACGGATCACACGCTTGACCCTTGGATGTCCAAAGTCAGTCAAAAATGGCCTGGAGTAAACTTTGATCATGAAATATCGTGAATCATGAACCTGTTTTCCGGTGAAAGGGGGCTAAAGGAGGCCATTTCTTGAGGATCGACACTTTGAACATCTCAGGATCCGCAACACTGGCTCATCGACGGGGGGAGCGATGAAAGTCCTACGGGCCTTGCGCACTCTAATCCACTCGATGCCCGGCAGCAAAATGTGCAGCGCAATTCGTTGGAAGCATTCTTGATTCCTAGGATAGTCTACACGCTCAAGGAGGTGGTTTGGGCTGCGGTATTTTTGTTTCTCATCATGTACGTCTTCTCTTTAGCCATTACTCAAGGCCGGGGAAAGAGGACCAGTGGCACAGCTCACAGAGTTGGCTTCATTGTCGTTTGCTTGGCTTGAGCATCCGAGAACCAGACCTGGTGCTCAACGGGCCAAAATACATGTAAAACTTCGGACATCCAGACTCGCAAAGAGGGCACAACAGGCGCACGACAGGGCATCAATAATTATTACACATCATAATTGCATGATATATGTGATGTATGTATCAAGTATAATAGCTACAAGCTTTGCAGAATGTACCCAAGCTTTGCAGAGGCGAATCATTTTTGGAGACTTCGTAGACAAATCCCAGTCGTGGAGTTTCCACACGTCGTTTTTCAGACATGTCCCCTTTCCCGTCAGCGAGGTGTTGCGGAGGAGCTGAGAACCGCCCCATCGGAGAGTCGAGTGAATCAGCCATGCTTTAGACGAGTCATTTGCTGTCTTTTTCTGTGGAGATATGGAGCAGGCCATGGCTGGGTGATTTTTGGCCATGGAAATGGGGATATGTTGGGATCTGCACTGCGATGCCGGCCTTGCAACGGAACAATAGAATTCAATCTCCAACGGTGCTTTCGGACTTGTCCGAACTCCAAACTCCAAACCTGCCTTCGCTTGTGCCGGTGGTGCCAGTTGCTACATTATTGGGGTGGCATCCCTTCAGCCATGTCCACGTGCTTCATGGCCGTGACAGGCGGCTGTACTTGGAGCTTTTCTCAGTCAAACGATTGATTCATTCAGGGCTGCCGAACTTCTGATCTTCAATGACAGTTGGCTTGCCATGGCATCCATGGCTTGCCTTTTCTGCCTTTTCCGAAAGCATTTCCTTGCTGCGAAAGACTGAGAGACCATCTCGTCATGTCTGGTCTTGTCGGGTCCAGCCCTGTGAGGCGGCATCTCATGGGAGGTGGCCTCCGACCCCCTCTTGAAGCGCCTGGGCGGGCAAAACTGCAGCTTCGAAAGCCGCCGGGGGCGACAGTGCACATTTTGGGATGCTGTCCAGGGAGGCATATTGTACCAAATGGTGTTGTATAGTTGCTCATTTGGCAATGCAGGTGCGTTCAAGCAACTATATAAATCTATAGCCAATCGAGCACCAGTGACGGGTGACAGATATATATAAATATAATATCTATATTATATATATGTATACATAAACATATATAGAGGGTGGTGGTACATGTTCCCATTCGAAGTAGGCCCTGGGCTTCTCATGTTGCTTTTGTGTGGTCTTAGTCTTTGATTCCTGTTTCATTAATTTATCTTCTTTGCATCCCATATTGGCATAGGCTTCAACTTCAAAGTTGTTTTTGACATCTCTTGACTGAGGATCTAAATTAAAATTATCTAGAAATGCATTCTTGCTTGTCCTTTAACCCCTTACTATTCCTACATGCGTCATTCACAAAATAATTCTTGAGATGTTCAAGTAGATGATTTGTGGTGTTTTCATGTGTTTTCGTCCCTGGCGGCTCCGCTGAGGATCTCGTTTCTTTGGTGGCTTCTATTTATTACATACGTGGGCTTCACGGTCTTCGCTGCTTCTTGTCGCTGTAAAATCTGCATAATTCGTCCGGCTTGAAAGCACTTGTTTTTTGAGGGCAGCTGAACTATGCTGAACTTACGATTGTCACCACGAGCCAGCAACTTTTCTTGCAGGTTTTGAATGTGATGACAGGTTCGGATGGGGCGTGCAATGTTCTGGCATTTTGTTGCGCTCTGCTACTTTGCGGCGGTGGGGGGTCATTGCGATGTCCCCTCCGTTCCGTGCACGATCCGAAAAGAAGGACGTGGCACGTCTTCTGCCGTCTACGCACATCACATATATGGCTGTGGGTCATGGCCCTGGTTTTTCCCACCTGGCGAATGAACAGAATAGACTACCAGACATGGCCAACCTACCCTGGTGTTGTCCCAGGGGCTCCGGGTGACCGACAGTGACATCCGACGCAGGTGTTTTCTGCCAAAGTGCCATCAAGTCCGCGCAGCACGACACCGATCTATTCTTGCAAAACATGCTGGTCGAGCGAGATGCAACTTGCAGAGCACAAATAGGACATGTTTCTGAACTCATGAGCATGGTTTGAATTGAAAGAGAGCTGCGTTTGATTTTTGGGGTTTGGTCAGAAGAGAGCTGGGCTGTAGAAACAGAGTCTGACTGGAGGTCTACTCTTTTGGACATGTGCTTTTTCCCCAAGCAGTGTACTGTGGGGTTATCGTGGGATTCTCACTTAGGACTAAAAGACACTGGCCACAGAATCTGGCAACGCTTCCAAACCCTGTGTCCTCCTTTTGTCCTGGTGTCCTCAGTGTCCTCCTGCTTTCCCTTAGACACGCTGGCAAACCCTGTCCTCCTCTTGTTGGAGTTGTCCTCCTGCTGTCCTTTAGCCGGGCTCGCGAACCCTGTGTCCTAGCCTAGCCCCTGTGTCCTCCTTTTGTCTTCTTGGCGTCCTCCTGTTGTGCTGGCAAACCCCGCGTCCTCCTTTTGTTACCCAAGTGGCCTCGCGTGGTCCTTGTCCAAGCCTTGTTTGGGTCTGTGTGTGTGTGCGGGCACCGCAGGTCTGTTGGCCGCCCCGCCTTGCTTGTGAGGGCTTTGTCCAGGGCTTGTCCGGGTTTGTCCGTCCTGCTTGTCCACGACGTTGTCAGCCCTTGTATCACCGCCTTGTCCCGGCCTTACCCCCTGCTTGGCCACGGCGCTTTCCCTTTTTCCACCGCCTTATCCGGGTATGTTTTCTTGTGGCTATTGAACGCGGCAGTGATGCAGCGTTTGATATCATCCTTGGACTTTTTCATGACAACGTCATGACATATATCCCGTCATGTGACCCCGGGAGTCAGGAACTATAAGGACGCTACGAACGGGGCTCCTGGCCGTACGTACTAGGAGCATCCTTACTACTAGTATTGTTTTCGAACATTTTTGTAAGTTTACATGCCATTCCCAATACAGACGTTACCAATTGACGCCAGAATATTGCTGAAACGGTTTGGGGTCTATGCTGGCATAATTCATCCCAGTAATAGCATTCATCCTTACATTGCTCATTTTGCTAAGGAGCACTTGAAGCGGATCAAGGACCTTTTTTCCAGGCAGGTTGAAATTAGTATCGCTGATTGAGTTGTTGAAAGACCGTGCCGAATTGATTTCTCTTTCAAGGCTTGACAATGATGGGCCCAGCTCTTGGTCAAACGCGCGTGGTGCGAATATGCTTTCAGGCCGCTGAGGAAACGTCGACGGGCACTTTGCGAACACTTTCCGAGGTCCGGAAGTTTAACCTTGGCCGAATTGGAGGCCATTTTGCCGGAAACGGGGGTGAGGGAGTTCAGAATTGAGAACCGGATTGCAGTCACTGTTTTCATACTTTTTGCTTAGTGTGGATTGGGCCCATCATGACTAGATGACACCATTTGGCTGGTGCATGTGTCCCGGACACAGGAGCATTTGGGTGATCCGGCAGTCCAGGCCTACTTTGCGACTTGACATTTCATGGTATCCAGCTGTCTTGCACAAAAGTCCAATCAAGAAAGCTCACTTTCCTCACAGACGCTTCGGAAACTTCGGAGTTAGGGCTCTCATATGTAATTTTGACACTATAAATAGACCATCCCCTCCCCTACGGCGATATTTTGCGGAGATTGTCGACAGCCGTTTCTTCGCCGTAAATCCTGGGGCCTCGGACCTTAAACTTGGATAGAATCGAAAGGCGAGTGAAAGGAGTCGAAAGGGACATGTAAAGGCTTTCCATATTTCTTAGAATTTCTTAGATAACTTTTTATTGAGTTAAGGAGGAAGTTAAGCAATATATATATATATACATAGTTTGACAATATTTGAGAATGATTATTGTTTTTTTTGTACTGTAGTAACCACCCTAAGGGTTTTTTTGCCGCCTAGTATATCGGCAGCTGGGGTTGAAAGGAACGTTTAAATTGCAAGTTCTTGGCGTTCCTAAAGGGGTACCCTTTGAAAAGACTTTGATTTCTTGTGAAAGATGTGAAAGGGTGTTTGAAGACATTACTGTAATAGTGCCGCTGCAAAAAATGGTATGACTAGACTATAATAATAATATGGGTATGGTTTGTAGAAACATGCGTTTGTATAGATTGTCAAAGCAACCCCATTTGGCTTTTAAATGGGTGCCTGTGATTCTTGACGGGGAGGCCTCTTGAAGGAGCAAGACCCATGTGCAACTTCCTGAACCCATGGAGCTCTTCAGCTGAGGCTTCCATGGAGCTCTCCATTACTGACGTGTGGTCCTTCTTCAAACTCCTCGACTCAGACCTGGAAGCGGAAATCTCTCCAGAGCTTTGCCAGAGTCGATGGGGGATCGCTGATAGCTCTTGCTTGCTCTTGTGCAAACGGCCAGTGTAACATTCAATCCTCCAGCATCAAACGCACCTGCTATTTTTCGTTGTCAGCTCTTGCGAAGGTTCATGAGATGCTGAAAGGGTTCTTTGCGCCCAGTGAGAACCACTTGTGAAACTCGCTTTGCTCGTTCCGCCTCGGATCCGGGCTTGTTCATTCAGCGGCGAACATGCATTCTCTCAGGAGACCTTCTTTGAAGGCTGCCAGAGGCTGAAAGGCTTCGCGAGATCGCTTGACCTGGCCAAGTTGATGCATCAGTCTCAGTCGCAACTAGGCACAAGAGGCGCATCGATTCAGGTTTCTTCAGTTTCGGCCCAACTCGTCAAGTGAACTAGGGGCACATGGGTGCTTTTTTCGCCATCTACCTCAGGCCCTGCCAATTTCACGCATACCTAGAACCTCCACTGGTGAACATAAATGCCAGTCCCAAAAAAGGCTGAAGTTTCTGCAGTTAGCAAGAATATATATATATATATATTTATAACAGGCTTTTGTCATTTTCTGCCAGGGCCAAGCAGGCATAGACAGCAAACTATGAATGCCGTTTATTTGAGTGAGGTTTGCATTGGAACGAGCATGAACCACCCATGAGTCAACAGGAGCCCGGCAGAGTATGTATTTGCAGTTGCTTTCAGCTATATGTTTAATACATCGTTTCAACATCCTAAAGGTTGCTGGATAAAAGCTCCATTGGAGTACAATAAGTTGAGTGTCGTTCAACACCCAGCAGATCGAGACCTGACCGACCTGACCTTGATCCTGACCTTGATCCTGACCCATGACCCATAACAGTCGACAAAAGATTATCACTAAGTCACTATGTTTTGAATTGTTTTGCATTGTTTTGAGAAAGGGCTGCAACCTAATCATCATCATCATCATCATCATCCACTGGGCCGGAATTGGGATACACCCAGTCATCACATCCACCCACCGGACTGGTGCACAAGTCTGGTGGGTGGTTCCGAGTCAGCTTTCTCATGCTTTTTCTCCCGTCTTTTTTTGGGGGTTTCTTCATGTGTCTTCCAGAAGCACCCCAAGAAAAGCACCTGGCTAGCAGTTTGTTTGTCACGCAAACGGGCTTGTCGCTTGCTGAGAAAGAAACACTCGCAAGCTCCTGAGTCAATCCCTTGTGACAGTCGTAAGTCTGCCTTGACCATTCAGGGGAGAGTCTGTGCACCTGAAGCCGCCGGATTCAAAGGGATGCGACAACCGATGTGCCCCCCACTCGAAGGCCTCGAACTCGAAACGTTGAACGTTTGCCCCTGGAAGCAAGGACGCTACTAAGCTACTAGGGGCTCCGGCCTTACTACTAGGAACAATGGGCATCGCTACTAGTTACTAGGAGCAAGGACGCTCTTGGGTTGGAGGAGTAGGTGAGGTGAGTATTGTTCGGGTTGTTCAGGTATCGCTATCGCTAGTCTTGGCTTACGGCTTGACTTCTTTAGAGATTCTTTGGCTCTGGCGTAGGGTTTCACTGCTTTAGAGATCTTTATGAAGTTCCTTTGGCTTCTTGCTGTGGGTTCGTAGGTTTCTTATTTAGGAATCAGACATTTCCCCGACACATTTCGCTGCCAAGGGAACATTCCTATCTCATGTGCTGATGTTCCACCATGTAAGCCAGAAGACACGGTTCGTATGCTACTTCACCTGAAGGCACAGATCCAAGCTCGCAAGCGTTCGGCTTCGCAGTAGCTTTTTGTGGCTCGTTGTTCTGGTTTGCTGTGGTCCCTCCTTCTCATCTCCCATTTTACCTCTTTTCATGCCACTTGCTCAGAGTCACGCCAACTGTGCCGGGCTCGGTTCACAATGGACGAGGTTTGTTGGGATGGGCTACGGCTTGGCTTAGGGCTTCACTTCCCCCCCCTCTCCTGCAGCCTCCACTTCGAACTCGAACTCGAACACCTCCCTCTCCCATGCGCGCAGCCTCCAGCTCAAACCCGAACTCAAACTCGAACTACTGTAGAAGAACCGCCTGGCGCACGGTCTGCAAAGGGAATGATCAGGCGGTCACAGGCATGAGAGAAAGAAGAGTCCCAAAAGTTTGCCCGCAAGAAAACAAGAAAGGAAAGGCCATTTGGAGTCTGCGTCGATTATTTTGGCCACATGGATTTGGACGGTGATTTAACTGTACTTGTAACAACGCGTAACAACACTTAAACTACATGTAGTTGATGGATCAATGATTTTAGGCAGACATGGATGATTATATATGATTATAATGGGCAGGCTACACCACCAAATCTGAGAACCTATGGGGTGAAGGGGTCAGCTATTCAATTCCCCATGAAATCCATATAGTGACAACCCATCATGACTTCGTGCCTGGCCGCCCATCCAAGACCAACGCAAGCAAGGATGGCCAAGAAGCAGGTGGAGTTCATGAACACGACCGACGATTTTCTAGCTAAGATCTGGGAGCAACTCAGGCAGCAACGGCAGCGGGTCTTCCTGACTGTTTGAAGCTCTGGTTGATCAGCCTTATGTTCCAGAGAGGTTCTGTTTGTCCTGTTGCTTTGTGTGCACTTTATTATGATGGGCGTGTGTGTGTGTGTGTGTGTGTGTCAATGTTCTAAAGTCATGGCCTTCGTCCCACCAATTGCCGGGTGCATGACAATCTTTTTTGATTTTTTCACTATATGTACTACTACATTATAATTTACATCATATTTTGTGTCTGTCTATATTATATGTATTATTATGTACTATAATGTCTATTTCTTGAACGATCAAACTTATGGTTGAACCTTGAGCCTTTTGAGAAGCACGGGGCAAACTCGCAGAGGGTTCAAGGAACTGCATGTAGTGATGCCATGCTTTCACCCCCAGCCCGCTGCCATGCCGTAGAAGCCTGCTGGGAGTTCCATGCTGCAAGCACGGGCTTGAGACCATGGCACCATCCTTGGCGCGACAAGCCCGAGCTTTTTGTTGTAACACACTCTGCACAGAGAGGGTGCTTTCGCCAGTCTTGGTTTTGCTGGTTCATGCTCTAATCGTTGCCGATGTTGCGTATCACAGGCGTGAGTTGTGGCAAGAGACCACCCTTTGGTATCGCAGTGTGCGACTGTTGGTTTTCACCACGCTAGCTTTGTACATCGGAACCTCATGCACAAATCCTGGCTTCCTCGACAGCGAGTCACGTGGTTGTGGCAGCTGCTTGCTCCTGCTTTGTGCACTGTGCATGCGGGACTCCAATGAGAAGGTGTCCAATCCCACGATCGTGAGCCCGGAGAATCCTGCACTTCTGGGTGCGAGCAACTTGGAGATGGACCAGGGAGACCCTGAGACGGGGAAAATGGATGAAGGCATTAAAAGACGTGGTGCACCAGATGCCGACAACGATGGAAACGTTGAAGGCGCCGAAGGCGCGCTCCGTTTTTGGGTGGTTGATTGTGATTCGGATGCGTTTTCAAATTCACGTGAGCGGAGCTGCACTGCGCAAGAGTTTTCAGAATGACTATATTTGGCCTGCCGCATATTTTCCCCTTCACAAGCTTCATCATGCCCCTACTTAGGCACGCGTTTGGGAGGCCGTGAGATGACGGTGAATGATCTTGGTAGCTTCTTGCTAGTATGTAAACAATTTCTGGTCAGGTGTGGAGCTTCGCTTTTGCAAACGTTGTCGCTTGCAGCAGCCCTTGCGAACAAAGCACTGCTATGACTGTGGCCGATGTGTCCGGACACATGATCATCACTGCCCTTGGGTTGGCAGTTGTGTAGGCGGGATCCGTCCAAAGCATGGTTTGAATCTTTTGAGCAGCATTGGAGTCGTCAGGAGAGAACAATCGAGCGCTCTTCTTTTGGTATTTGCTCCTTCAGTGTGTGGAGCTTGGTGTTTTCTTCACGGAGGGCATCCAAGGGATTTCTCTCTTGCAACCCAGCGTGGTACTCATGGTGGGCCTATTGTTTATTGCGATTTTCTTTCTCATGGCACCGGGCTTAGGATTGCATATGAGATTTTTTCAATGCACCAAAAAGTAAGTTGTGAGTCATTTCATTCTTCTCTATCGGTTTTGAACCTCCTGGAATCCTGCATTTTCCGGCTTCGCTTTCCAACCACATCAGAAAGTGAAGCGAGCGAATTGCAGAGGTCAGCTGCTTACTGTTCTTCCACAGCTTTCTGGTCTTGGCCAACCTCACAACATGGGAGCACATTTCTTGGCGGCAAATTACCTATTTGATACTTGCAGCAATCCCTTGATTTCACCAAAATTCTGGTATCCCTCAAGAAGGTCGATGGCCCAGAAAAAAGGATGCCAGTGCTAGTGTTGGTGGAGGAGTGTATATGTGCCGTAAGTGTGCGCCTGATTTGATCAGTTGACAGTTCCGACACTTCGCCCCCAAGCAGACATGGGATCTTCCACTATAATAACCCTGACTGTTCCAGGTCTTTTACAACTTGGTCGGGATCTCCAGTCGAAAGTTTGCACACCGTGTATGAAAGCTCCTGATGCATGCGATTTGCCGAGGAAGTCCTTGCGTTCGGAGCGTGGATCTCCCTTTGCGCGCTGCTTGGAACGCAGTTGGGCGAACACATGCAGCGCAGGTTTTGGTAGACCTCGACTCGTTTCCCTTTGTAATGACTTTTCCGCATGTGTCCTTCTTAGCAAGGCGCATGTGTCCTTCTTAGTAGCAGGAAGGTTGGATGCGAAAAGTATTGCATAGATTCGCATAGTACCCTCAGGAGTGCGCGGCTGTGTGTCAATGGAGCAGGTGTTACCGAACGTGTGGCTGCTGTGTGTCAGTCACCGAGTCCTTGCACATCAAAACTTGACTGATGGGCTTGCTCCTAGTAGCTTCTTGCTCCTAGTAGTAAGGCCAGGAGCTACTAGTAGCATCCTTGCTCCTAGTAGCGATGCCCTTTGTTCCTAATGGCTTTTGGGTACCAACGCAGAATGCTTCCAGGTTCTTTGTGGTGGAACGTCGCAGTCTATTGCTGTGGCGCCTTCTGGTGTCCTAGCTTGCTTCGGCGAGTGCCAAACGCGCGCTATGAACAAGGGGGGCTGTGCTGGGAGATGTTCCTGGTCTGCAATCGGCCCATAGGGTGTTTGTTTGCTCGATTGTTTGCTCGCATGGTTATTTCTACCAATATGGAAGCTATGGAACTGCCACATGTGAGGCAACATAGGTCAAATCACCAACCCCATCCAATCTCATAGGAACAACAGGCACGGGGAGCTTTGTGTCAACTGCCGAATTGCTTCTATATGGAGCCCACATGAGTCCACAACGCTTAAATGAGTTTCAACAGGGGCCACATTCATCATGCGTTTACGCATTATGATTATCAATGCAATACCGCAGGGCCCTTTGTCAGGTGTTGAGCCGACCAAAAACGCCTGTGATGCACTTCACCATTTAGGGAATGAATGGGAATGAAGGCGGCTAAGCGCCCAAAAGTGCAGGAAGCTTGGGAGATGAACATTGGTTTGAGCATTCTTCATCCAAATTTGGGAATGATAATCCCATTGACGGCTAGTATTATTGGGATTGTTTCATTCACACAGCTGCGATATTAAAAATACACCGGAAGCATCCTGGGTCAGTTGCAGCCTACTCGCCACTGTGTTGCCAGACAAGCCACAGAAACATCAAAGGAGGTGGGAAGGCAATAGAAGTGACAGCCAGCGTGAAAACCATTACCGAGCTGCCAAATTGATTGCTTCGCCACCAAAAACGGAATGACGGATCATGTTTCTCCTTCTTTTTCTTGGGGGGGTCGTGCCCGACATCTGAGGTCTGAACAAAGGGGCATGTGTTGCTTGATCGCTTGCTGTGCAGAAACCTGTTGAAGTTGACACGGGTGAGGACGGGTGGGCTGTTGCAGCCTCTTCCGGACGGCCTCGCGCGCGGCTGCTGCTTCACCAGATGGTGATGCTGCGAGAACGCGCGCGGCGCGTGGGAGGTTCAAAAGGGGGCGGTGCGGAGAAAACATGGGGCGGTGCCAGGAAGGTGCTTGGGGAGAGTTACATTTAAGAGGATGAACAGGCTGATGTGCGCCATGATGCTGCATGTGTATTTATTTTGCCTGTTTGCTTGTACACGGCATGTCGGGTTGCCCCACTGATTGTATTCCCCCATGTTGTCCATCGTTTTTAGTGCACGCATTTGGGATATTTTGGGATCAGATCCCACCTTGGGAGAGCCAAGGAAGTTGAGCTAGCAAAGTGAGCTAGCGAACCGACTTCGTTTCACACCCTGGCCCCTGATGGGGTCAAAGACGATTGCGAAATCTTTAAGGCGAGAGGTGCCACCCAGGCTGCTCGGCCCGAACTGTTGATAAGTGGACATGTGAAACAGTTGACACACGGGTTTCACTTCATGGACATGCGAAACAGAGGGCCGCCAGATTGGCATCTTGTCTAAGCCCAGTTACTGAGATAGGGATGTGGCAAAGCCACAACGATGTCTAGTCTACTTAATTACTCCCAGCCTCGCCGACGTGGAACTCCCATTTCTGGGCATTTTTTAAAACCCAGCCCGTCCTTGCGTTAGCAGGTCCAATACAGAACGATGGCAACCATTGAGGATGCCGCTTTCAAGTAACGCAAGGGCTGGGGCTGTTGGAGTTCAATACTGCACGGGAAGACGTTTATTGCCGGCGAAATGCAAGATAGATCTGGCAAGTGTCCTTCAATCGGAGCTCAATGAGTTGCACAGGCGCTGCCTGAGGGAACACGTCTACAATCTAATTAAAGTCTATGCCTTGACTGTGGAGATTTCAACCTATCAAGACTTGTCCACGTGACCTAGAGAATGCACTCCGGACTAACTCTTGGATGTACGTTTGGTTGCACAAGGTCTCGTGCCGTCTTTGCGCGAACACCTGGACCTGTCGACATGTGCCGGGTGCCTCAGTCTAAGTACAGAATGCATCAGTGTGCCAGTTACTCATTATATACACAAGATATCACAAAATTGAGAATTCCAATCGGGACCCGGCCTGAAAGAGACTCATCAAAGCTCGTGGCAGAGAGTTGGTCTTGGTGAATGCATTTTCGTATAAAGGTGCTGTATTTCTTCCGAACCGACTTGCGGTATGGCCGGAAATTGATGCAAGCCGGGCCCCCGGCTGACTGGACTGAGGTCTCAAGTGCCCTGTGAGCTGGTCCCTGTGAGCAGGTTTTCAGGCACTCGATGGCTAAGGAGCTTTGCGTAGCCATAGCCATGCACCGCCTGGGATCGCAGAAGAAAGGAAAAAGGTATGGGGCGCGCTCGGATGAACGCGCTTGATCCGCTCAGAAGTTGAGTCTGCACGCATGCATAAAAGGATTCCAGCTTTCCTGCTGAAGCTTGGTATGGCTCAGATTGTGTTGGGGCCGAGCAATTTCTCTACGACTGGGGCTGCAAGGCGCCTTTGTAGAACGATGGATAAGCTTTTGGGGTTTAGCACCCGGTCGATGGCGTTTGCCACGTACTTTATCGTGTTGAAAGGAGCAGTTGTGCGTACGAGCTTGTGGCAACGTGCAGCCACACACATATACATATATCATACTACACAGAAACAGTTTGTATGACGGGCACCTGTGAATGATAAACTCTTTGTTCTTCAAATTGCCTGGTGGAGTGTCCCTGCACTGTTCTAATAGCTTTGGCATGCATCCTGGACGTTCTTGCCATTTCTTGCCCAATGGACACTGAACGATTTCATCAATAGATTTTGCCACTGGATTCTCGGATATTCTTAGGTTGGAGGCCATCGCTATTAGGTTGGAGGTCATCGCTAATAGGTAGGAGACCATTGCTTCTTTGGAGCATGTACATCCCATCTCCCACCCTGGTTGGGTTCTTCAAGGTCCTTCAATTGGGCCTTGAAGAGTTCCTGGTGGGGGCACTTGTCAGACCCGGCCCGGCCCGCCCCAGGGTAGCTTACTCTTTGGGAGTTCATGATCCAGCACTGGGGAAGATGTCTCTTGGCTGAGAGTTGGACAGGTGCTTCTTTTGTTGCTTGATGTGGTATACATATATATATATATATCTGTGTGTGTGCGTTACAGTAGTACAATGCTTATGTTGAAATCAGAAGACTTCCAATGCAGTGCCTTGGCCAGCATGTCTTGACGGCCTGCTGGGAGACCGTGGCCCAGTCCCATCATACCTGGCAAATAGTGTCCGATACAGTGCCGAGTTTTGACATCTATAAAGTGTAATTCATGGACCCTCTTTTTGGGGTGAGGGCACTGTGGACGAAAAAAGCCAAAGCCTGAACATGGCATTCTGTGGGGTTGTCATTCACCTAGTAGGTGAAATAGGTCATCCTAGGTCATTGAAGATAAGACATTTGGAATGTAATCTGATAGAGAAGCTGGTCTGGCATGGCTTGAACATGCCTGCGACGTGGAATCACAACTGGTAGGAAAAACACGTCGCATTCTGAGGATGTTCTCTTGGAATCCCACTTTGTTGTAACACGGTTGTCATTTCATAGATCTCGAAGCAGCAAACCTGTCATTGATCCACCGACCATTACCTATACCCAAGCCTATCCACGTAGAAAAGAATAACTACGCCAAAGCATCACTCCAAGGCAATCTAAAGGCATACAAGACAAGACATTTTAAAGAAGCTGCACACCCCTCGCCTCTGCCATCCACCTACCATGTGACCTACTGTGCCCAATCCTACCCACACTCCAATCATCCAAATGGATTTCCAAAGCATCCGACTTTGTGTCTTTCTTCTGATGGAATGAGTTTTTTTTTTTGTTTTTTAACTCTTTATAGTCCTAGCCTCTTTGGCTCTATATTAATATTGCATTAAGGCCAGGTGGATTGTCATTTCATAAACAATCTTCCAGCTTTATCCACTGGTCACCTCATTTCATGGTTGGCTTTACGTGGTTTGGCATGGCTTGGCATGTCATAGAGAGAGCCAAGGTTGGGCATCCCATTCTATAGAGATCAATAGAGCTTCTTTTTTTGACAGAAATGCCTTGCAAAACATTTTAGTACTCTGTTTGCCGGGCATGTGCCATCAGTGAATCCCTGGATCCCTAAAACTCCTTTGGTCCAAGGTGGACTTTGGGTGACGAATGGTTGCTCTCCCAAAAACGGCTCCATCGGATGACCGGGTTGGGTCTCTGAATTCTGAGGGCCTTGCGGGGGATTCTGAGTTCCAAGTCGGAGTCCAACTTGCGGCTGTCTCCGCTTCTTGGACAAAGATTTTGTGATTTGATGTGATATCATATCAGTGGTCATTGACAGTTGGAGAAAATCCCAAACTACGGAACTAGCCAGTGTTCGGCGGGTTCTCAACAGTTATGTGAGATTTGATTTTTCCCGCAGCAGAAGAGGCAATGATCGTTGCTGGATGTTGTGGGGCTTCCAAAGTGTGTCCATTGTGAAGCCTGTGATTTGAGATTGTAGAGGGCCTGAGCTCAACATTTGTGCTGCATGGTCTCAAATACATTGCTGGTTGGAGACTGCCCAGACGTTTTGTTGCGTTCAAGGCACTCAAGCGTGGGGGACAGCGATGATGTTGCTTCGAATGGATAGTCGCCTGGACATCAGTTGATCCGTGGGTTCGATTTCTTGGAATTTGAGAACTTGAGAACATGTGGTTTCCAAAATGCACACCAGACTGTTAGTTCATGGGAACAAGAAGCTACTAGGGGCTCCTGGCATCGCTACTAGGAGCAAGGACGCTACTAGGGGCTCCTGGCCGTACTACTAGGAACAAGAAGCTACTAGGAGCTTAGGGGCTCCTGGCCTCGCTACTATCAGCATTCTTACTAGTAACAATAAGCTACTAAACACATAGTGTTGGTTCTTGCGCCATCACAACCCTCGCGGCGCGCGCGCGGGGTGTTTTTTGTCGTGCGGAGTTTGTCGTGGTTGTCGGTCTTGGTTCGGCACTTGGGGGAGAGCACGGTCGGCATGTGAGGCACACTCAAAATGATTGAAAAGGCAGCTCCTTTTGGATGTCCCCTTGATTTTGTGGAAGTGCTCAAAAGCCTGTCGAACGATAGGGGGCTGTCACAAAAAAGGGACTATATATATTATATAATATATAGGTTTGTGACTTGCTATTTCCTGAATTGTAACTATATCCGTTCTTAGAGCGTTCTGAACGAGCGATAACTGGAACGATCACAGGACGATAATGACCGAGTTGGAGGCATTCCATGGGGGATGCCTCGGGAAACGTCCGAAGACTGGTCCAAGGGCTCGCTGGCAGTGGCATTCGAACATGCCAAAGACAGTAAAACGAGCCAACAGTGAGAAGAGGCCATGTAAAGCATCTTGACCGTGGGTCATATGTGCCTTGTAGGATCAGGAGCTTATGGCATAGGCAAAAGATTGCGATCCAAGATATTGCCAAAAATACACAGCTTTCCTTGAGGCACAAGGGTTTCAAGACGCTTCTTCGACCTGTTTTCTCATTTCCCGACGCTGCAGTCCACGCAGAGCTGCTTCCACTCGCTCGCGGACCAACTCTGGGCTGGAACCCTCAGACGTTTATTGGGACAGTTTGAGCCGGTACTGGAGGCTCTTGTTGCCAGGGTTTCGAAGTTTTATTTTTTTTTGGGGGGCGGGGGGGGTCTATATAGTTTGTTATGTGGTTTGTTTTGTTTTGGGAACCAGTTGCCAGCTAAACTGCGAGCTCACATCTCGTTTTGCAAGTGTAGTGGAGTTGATTGATCAGACGTCTAGGTGTTCGATGAGAAAGCTTTGAAGACTCATGATGAACATACACAGATACTGCTCTTTGGGCCAGGGTCCAGGGCCCACTGATTTCGATGACATTGGGCCATTGGGCACCCGCTCAGAAGTGGCTTCTCTTTTTCGATGCAGTCCGCCCACACCAAGGAGGATGCTCATGCCACAAGAAATCGAACACCCATGGGACTGGGAGCCTGTCAGACTTGTCAATCGGATGTTGGGCTCTGACAGGTTGATTATTGATGTTCGATCAGTCTGCAAACATGCCAGCATAGAATTGATATGATTTGATAATATGTTTGGGCTCTGCAGAGTTAGGGCCGTTGGTCTTCCTGTCAATGGTCTTTTGTGTTCTTAAGCGATAATACTATGAGCAAGACAAATGACAGAACTGTGGCAACTTGCCGTTGACCGCAGACCTCTGTGGCAGGAAACATGCCCATTTCAGACCCTTTTTGTCGTCGTTCAGGAGAGACACTTGCGTGTGTGTGTGTGTGTGTATGTAACCCTTGGAGTCCTAGGGATCCTTCCGGATTTATTTTATTTCGTATTATCGCAGGGGGTGCAAGCAGCCCATCCAGTCTTGCACCAACG